CTTTAACCTTTAATTTCAATCTTTGTTGTACAAATCACTACCCTTGAACATACGGGAAAAAAAAAAGAAAAGAAAGAAATGGCCTTCAAATTTTGAATGAGAAGTACAATTATAACCAAATATGAAAAATTAACTCATCATAAACAGCATAATTAAAAAATTCTATTGTAAAAAGCCCAATGCAATATTAAACGACTTAATGAAACATACCTCAACATTTGTGTAACTCCTTAAACCACCAACAAAATATATCCAAAAATGATTCCACTGTTCTTGCATCACTTACATGCCCAAAGACAACCAAAAGTTGTCACAACAACATCATTGTGCCATTAAATACGTATGAAAATTAACTTCTTTTAAGAACAAATAACTTTTGATGTTGTGTGTGGCCCACAAATTTAAAAGGTAACGAATGATCATTCATGCAAAGATTCTAGGCCCACAAATTTACATAGTATCTCAGTTGGTTACTAAATAATAGACAACAACTATTCAAAAATCAATGTGGGAAGATATGACCCATGCAAATGGGGTACTGATTCAATTTTTAGATAATGAAAAATATAAGTAATTCCAGGGATGTGTAAATCACCCCAACATATTCTATGAATGGTCAACACTTTTCTTTTATAGCTCTCCCAATCTCTGTCGGCTACTTTAATGGGCTAGGAAAAAAGCATTTTGCAATATTGAAAACACAATACACTCTAGAACAAAACCAAAAGATCATCAAAAAAATATCTCTGATAACCCATTCCTGAATCAATTTCACAAAAAACCATTTCAAACATTTCAAACTATGATAACCCATTCCAAAAAAATGATAACCCATTTCAAACTATGATCTCAACTGATTCGGGTTCCTGAATCAGTTATCAAAAAAATGATAACCCATTCCAAAAAACCATTTCAAACTATCATCAAATTTCACAAAAGAATCGCAAAATCTCACAAAAGATTAACCCATTTACAACCCGAATCAGTTGAGATCGAATAAGTTTTGTGTAAATATTTTCACATTTGGGGAGGCCTAGGATTGATGTGGGTTTGTGGAATGATGTGGGTTCGGCCTTCCTTCATCCCTCCTTCTTCTTCTTTTTTTCAAATGTCTCCCTCTTCTCTTGCTCTGCTTCTCTTCTTTTGCCGCCACCTCCTATTTTGGAAAAGGTCTTGAAGGGAAGGTTATGGGGAAGACAGAAAAGGGTTTGAGAGAGGATAGGGTTTGTCAAGGGGTGGTGACAGTGGCAGTGGCTATGGCCATGGTTGCTATTGGGTTATGAGGAATACAGCCGACGTGGGTTGTGATTAAAAGCTGAAGAGTCGAAAAGCCGACATGGCTCACCAATGGGTTTTGTAGCGGCTCTCCCATGTTTCCTCCCTCTCTTTTGTAGGCGGAAGCCATTTACAGCCACATCGTAATCGCCCCAATTCTCTCCCTCTCTGTCCAACCACACCCTAACGGCCACTTCACGAAATCAACCACAAACACTGATCGGTGTACGATCACCCACACCCCCACCCACCACCAACACACACCCCCACACCGAGTGGGTCTCCATTAGCCATTAGTTTTGGTTTGATGTGAATTTTGGGAATTCGGTTTGACACAGTGGTTTGATGTGAATGTTGTGAATTCAGTTTGACACAGTGTTTGAGGGTTCAATGAACCACAACTACTATAGCTTCAACGAAATTTCCCAAAGAGCTCTAAACATCAAAGGTTCGAATGATGGGTTCGAGTGATACTGCTGTAACTGGAAGGTAATTGGTTTGGGCCAACACATTTTGTCCAATTTCATCTATTAACACTGCTTGGCTTTTGTGTTCATGAGCCATGGCAGAGAAATCACAACGAAAGAGAGGGGGAGAGGGAGGTACCTGGGCTGAGGTTGGTGAGCCACTGCTGTGTGCCGTTGTATTGATCGCCGCTGCGTGCTGCCGCTGAGCCATGACAGAGGAATGAGAGGGGTGTGGGTAGCAGTGTAAGGTTTCTGGGTAGTGTTGAGCCATGAGCCATGGTAGAGGAAGTGACTGGGTTTGAGAGGAAGTGACTGGGTTTGGGCGGGAGGTAGAGAGTAGTTGCAAGAGGGGTAGCGTGTAGGGGGTGGGTTTGATTCGGGCGGGATTTTGAGATGAAATGTGAGCCTTTGGATTAAATTGGAAGAATTGAGATGAAATCTAGGCCATTAAATTAAAAGTAGATTAAATCTGAGACATCCTTGTGCTTTCCCAAATAAATTAAAATTGGATTAAATTTTGAAGTAAAAATGGATTCAAATTAGGTTCTATCTTATTAGTATAGATGCCGATTCTAAGACCGAAAATACAAAAAAGTGTTAGATTACAATTATTTGATTTTATGATTCAATTATAAAATCTTTCAACTGGTTCTTAAAAGTGCCTAAAAATGCTCAAGAACATGGACACAAATAATAATTTTATGATTGGATTCTATGAATAGGAAATTCAAGATTTCTAATCACCATTTATCAAACAGAATTAGAAAAACAATACTACACCATGGCTTTGCATTAACATAAAAACGTTCAAACGAAACAAATTCAAACAGTCACAAATAAATAATGTTAGCAAAATGGAACCTTTGACTACAAAGCAACAAACTTATACAAATTCGAAAGCATAATCAAAATTTACATAACAAATTCAAGAGTGTGGCATGTTGGAGCTTCCGTTCTTTGCACCAGTGGGTACGTGTTGACGCCAGAATAAACAAATGTTTATTTATTAAACACGAATAATGAATGAAAGAAAGAAACAAAAATTAAGCCAAAGCGGCAACAAAAATTAATTTGTGGATAATGAATGAAAGAAAGAAACCCATATCAATGAAAGAAACAATTAAAAATGTTCAGAAAATTAACCCATATCAATGAAAGAAACAAACCCATATCAGTGCTTCGTGAATAACAGATGGAAGAAAATGTTCAGGAAATTAAAAAAAAAAATCTCTGATAACCCAAAGCTTCAACCAACCTTCAAAATGCTGAGCTTGGGCTGAGAATGCTAAGCGAAAGAGAGGGGGAGAGGGAGTTACTTGGGTTGAGAACGCTGGTGTTGCTGCTGATGTTGCCGCTGTGTGCTACAGTTGAGCCATGACAGAGGAGTGAGAGGGGTGTGGGTAGCAGTGTAAGGGTCTAGGTAGAGGGGTAAGGGGTCTGGGTGTGGGTATCACTTCCTCTGCTGCTGTGTTGAGCCATGAGCCATGGCAGACAAAGTGACTGGTGAACAGGAGAGTAGCTGCAGAGGGGATAGCGTGTAGGGAGTGGGTTTGATTTGGGCGGGATTTTTGTTTGTGTGAGATGAAATGTGAGCCTTGGATTAAGTTGGAAGAATTGAGATGAAATTTAAATCATTGAATTAAAATTAGAATGAATCTGAGCCGTCCTTGTACTTTTTCAAATAAATTTAAATTAAAGTGGGAAAAGATTCAAAATTGGTCCTATCTTATTATTATAGATTATAAATTTTACAATTAAAATTTATATTCTATTGTACCATTTATTAAAATAAAATCAACAATAAAAATTCAAATTTTTCTTAAAATTTTTTAATTAATATACAATTATATTATCTATTAGAATTTAATTTGATCATTTATATAATCAAATTAAAATACCAAACTACCTAAATTAAAACTAAAAGATGTTGTGTCAATTACAGTTTGATTTTCTAATTTTATTCTAATAGATAGTATAATTGTATACTAATTATATTTTTATAAAAAAAATTAGATTTTTATTTTTGATTTTATTTTAATAAATGACATAATAAAACATGAATTTTAGTTGTAAAATTTATGTTCTATTATGAAATGACTTAGACCATTTGTTTGATTTTTTAGTTTTATTCCAATATATAGTATAATTGTACACTAATTATGATTTTTTAAGAAAAAAATAAATTTTTATTTTTAATTTTATTTCAATAAATGATACAATAGACACATGAATTTTGATTAAAAATTTAAAATATTTGATATTCTATCTTTAATTGAATTATTTTTTATCTGAATATAATATTTTAAACTTAAGGAATTTAAGTATTATATGCCTACAAACTTTAGGAGGTTTAAGTATAATTTATTAATAGATATATTTACAACAGAAATTTTAAATATGGTCCGAGTGATTAAGTGACAAATTTTAAGAAACTTGAGTGTAATTCTCACAAAAGATTTTCAAGGAAAATAACCACTAGGGGTGTTCACCCTACCCTACGGGTAAAAAATATAGTCTTCCATCTTCCTACCTAATACTTTACGGAAGAATTTTTTTTTGGCCTACCTTACCCGATCAAGTGTGATATTCCGATCTGATTTCCTACCCGATTAATTGGGTAGGAAGTAAGATAAACAATTTTGTAACTATTAATTTTTGAATCATTTTAACAATTTAATTAAATAACATCCATCAATTTAACAACATAATAAATCAATAATATTAAAATTTTAAAAAAACTACAACAATAATTACAATAAAACATAAGAAAATATGAACATCAATCCATTATAATTGTTAAACAAATATAATAATAACTATTTTAAGTTTAAACCATATGAAACACATTAAAATCATAACTGCTCCAATAGATCATCAGTTCACCACAAATCATGTAACCTACACAAAACACAAGTCCATGTTTTCGCAATTCAAACATCCACAACAATAACAATATTATAATATAAATTATACCACACAAATACTCTTATAATTACTAAAAAAAATATAAAAAAATTAAATATATTTTTTGCGGATAGGGTAAGAATGCAAAAATTGATAGGTATTCTACATTCTTATCTGATTTAATCGAAAGACCAAAAACTCTTTCGCATTTCTACCCAATTTTTGCGGTTTCTGCTCAATTTTTACAGCTAGCCGTTCAGTAGTGTAAGATCGGGTATGATAAAAAATTACGGTCAATCCAAAATTTGAACACCCCTAATAACCACTATGGTCTCAATGGCTAGTTGACGAGTTTTATGCTCTCCAAACCCGCCCTGGCAGGCAAGGCATTAATTTGTTGTAAGATTCCTTCCGTATGCCTAGAATGGATTGGAGTATTTGCGGATACGATAGGATAGGCAGTAGTCATGTGTGAATTATGCAATATTATCTGTCTGATCAAGTAAGTACATTGATAATTCAAGCGGATAAACCAGTTTATGCAACTAAGCGAGCCTCCTCACTTTCTGGCACCACAATATCAAGCCTCATCATTGGTTTGTACTTATCAGGAACTCGAGCACCCGCCTGCATGCACACTTCCAACACAGCCGGAGCCTTGCCATAGAACCTCTTGAGTGCACTCCTCAATGGAGGCCCTTTTGTATCCCGAACATGCCAAACGTAATTCGGCGGGAACACTTCATCCACTGTGGCGTCCTGCCAACCATGCTTCCCATCCCTCCACTGATGCTTAAATTCCCCACAAAGCTTAGCATTGTGGCCCCAGGGTCCCACATGAACCTCTGAACAATATCCACAAGCCTTCACTGTGAATTTCCTCATCAACTTCCTGACACCCCATTTCACTTTTTCGTACGCATCAACAGTCTTCTGCGCAATCCTAGGCACCTCTGACCCTTCAGGAGGAGGAAATCGCTCAAGAGCCCTGTGTGTGTCAAGGTCCACAATTGACGACACTGAATCCACCAATTGGCGGGGTTTACACTCCTCAACAAATCCACCTCTGTCGATTATCTTTCTTCCCATCATTCGTATAGGTTCGGTCCTTCGCCTCGAAGGATATTCTGCTAAATCAACACCAGCTTGGATGCACAACTCCACAACAGCTGGGATTCTGTCATAGTTGAATCGAGTTTCGTGCTTAATACGCCGACCAAAAGGATCGTAGAGATGGTATGACTCAATAGGGAGAAGTATATCATTAATGGAGCCTTTCAACCAAGAGTGGAAGCTTCTGCGGTTCCCACTGGTTGGACCATGGCAATCCTGAATGCTGTGACCAGTTTGGGCCACATGAATTTCTGAGCACTCGCTGCAGGAAAAACTATGCCTTTTACTTTCCAGATATATAAAAGCTTTTAATATAAATTTGTTCAGGAAAGTTGCAAAGTCATTACAAGTTCTAATTATAAAATACAAGTTACCTGCAAGCGCAGACAGGAACAATGTGCAAAAGTTGTGCAAGTCCTTTAATTAAAATCTTCCAGGCATCTAGTACTTCATAAGCAACCGGAACCAGATCAGGAACAAGCAATCCATTTTTAGGAGGTTCAAGGGGCTTCTCTATGCCCATTCCTGCAAGCTTCTTATCAGCCCGAGCAGCCTGCTGAATCTTCTTCAGAGGTATTGGATAGGGTTTCTTCTTTTTCTTGGGCAGTACCAGCGGAAGATCCACGTTTTGAGAATGTATCACCCTTTTCTTAGTGCTATGATCTTGAGCAGGTCTATGACCAGCACAAAAGAAGGTTCCTGATGTCGTTGAGCCATCAGTCTGAAGCTGCCCGTGCCCAAATTGCTGTCCTTGCCCAAACTGCAAGTAAAACCCAAACTGTTAGCCTCCCAAGTCCCAACCAGCAATGAAACATGGGCCCGGACGAAATAGTTAGTTATTAGACACCATATTACACAAAGAATTAGGGCCAAAGACTTCATTGCAACCCTCTACTACTATTACCTGATAACTATGACAGGATAGAATAATCAATAGTAATATGAGAAGCAAAGTGGAAAATAACACAACTTTCTGATGAAAAGCACTTGTGAGCACAAACATAGACCTTTTTTTTGTCACTTCTTTCCTAGTGTGTGTTTTATATGGTTGTTTGGGCGTGGGTTTCCTTCATCTTCTTCTTACTTCATTTTAGTGCTGCTTAAAAATTTCAACTTTCAACTGCAGCATCAGAGAATTAAAGAGTCAATTTTAACATAGAGAACAAGAAAAGTTTATCTAGGGAGCCTATAGATATGTAATCACGCGGCATTTACATTTGTAGCTGTAATTTGCAAACAGGAAATAAAGAACTACAATTATTTTTGAGAGAGAAAGGAAACCTTGAATCCAAGGGAATATGACCTTATGGCTGCTAAATAAGACCTCTTGCTATCCACTTTGCCAAGGCAAACACCTGTAATTTGAAAACCAAATCATCTAGTATCATGAAGTATAATACATAACAAGGGCCATCCTACTATAGCATCTCTTGTTTTCATTTTTTTCCATTTCTCATGTAGATGGTGGCATACCAACATGCCAGCACTCAAGTGTAGCAGACACCATGTCATAATTCATTAGCTTCTGAGGTCGTCAAATAACACAATATGTGTAGATTAGTTCCCTCATCAGCTTCATGACATATGATACAAAGATAAATATAAAGAAGGTATGATGTGTTCACCTGTCTGAGATGGATTCCTTGGAGCAATACATACTGCCGGAAAGTAATGGAGCATTTATAGAAAGAGAGTCCTCCTTCTTCTCTTAAGGGAAAGTAAATGTTGGAATCTAATTTCGACGATTAAGTGAATGATCGATCAGTCTACTTGTAATGTTCTGGAAAGCAAATGAGCGAGGGCGAGAGCGCGCACACACAGAGGTTGGCAGTGCAAAACTACAGTTCGTCGTAATGGGGTAAACTGGTATGATATTGTATGCAAATTTTCCTCTTTTTAGCTCTAGGCATACAATCGATACCAGAAAAAGCACACTACTTCCTACACAGCAATACATTCATCAAAACAGGGTAACAAACAATACCACTAATCACATAGTATTACTTGCCATATACGACGCGAGAGACCAAGAACTAAACAGTTACAAAAATTGCTTACCTGGTTTCACAATACACGAGCTGGAGAACTCTGAAGAGCGAGAGAACTCCGATGGTAATTTCAGTGAGCTGCACAAAGACAGCTCTGACAATATTACAAATTGGGGTATTACGTCTGCAAATATATTAATTAACGACGAAAATTCGACAAAGCTGACGTCAAATAAAGAATCTGAAGTTTAAGAGAGGGAGAGTGTGTGTGTTGTTTTGCCTGTGCTTTGGGTTGGGGGGGTTGGATTTTAGGAACGATGATAACGAAAAGCCCCAAGATATCTAGGGCCAGCATTCATGGAAGAGCGGCGTCATTGCTTTTCTTTTTCATTTTATTTTTTTAACATCCCTCTTAAGGCAATCTAAAGTAGGAGTGTACATTAAGTAGATGATTCATGCAATTTTGATTGTCCTTTTTGTTTTAAATTTTATCACTTTAATTCTTTAAAAATTTTAATTTATATTACTTGGGTCCAATAATAAAAAGCTATAAATTAAATTCAATAATAAAAATTTATTTAATAAAATAACTTACAATTCAAATTTCAAAAATAAACAAAATAATTTTTTATTTTTTGCGATTCAGATTGTTTTAAATTTTATTTTAAAATTAATTTAACGGCTATTAATAACTCTCTAAATAGGCCTCTGAGGCTGTATTTGAAGTGATTTTTTAAAAGTACCTTTACGAATTATTTCTCATAAGCATTTTAAAAAAAATAGTGTTTGAAACTGTCCCACCATTATTTCTACCGCTACCACCACAACCACCACCACCATCTCTACCACTGTCGCCACAACCACCACCACTGTCGTCCATCACCACCGTCGCCACCACCCCATTGCCCCCCCACCACCACTGCCGCCACCACCGCCAACAACGCCATCACCGCCACCCTACCACCATCACCGCCGCCGTAACCACCAACGCCTCCGTCACCACCATCGTTGCTGCAGCTGCCACCACCACTATCATCGCCATCACGGTCATTACCACCCACTACAACTATTACCGTTTCTTACCACCACAACTGCTGCTCACCACCTCTCTCCCCACTAAAAACTGATGTTTAAATTTTTTTATCTCTTTTTTATGTTTGTTATTTGATTTTGAATATGAATACAAATATGTTTATTGTTTACCATTTTTTATTACTCTGTACCTTCAGGCACATGCAATAACTAGTCTATATAATAAAGTACAATACAATTCAAATCTCAAAAGATAAATAAAATGACTTTTATTATTCGCGGTTGAGATCTTTTTCAATTTTACTTTAAAATTAATCCGACGACTAATATTAACATTCCAAATTTAATAGAAAAAATAGGTTCCCTAAGGGTGTATTTGGAGTGACTTTTTAAAAGTGTTTTTAATACTTATAATTTCTCATAAATATATATATATATATATATATATATATATTATTTTTAAAAATAGTATTTAGAACCACCGCATCACCACTACTACTACCACCATCACCCCACCACCATCACCGTTACCCCCCCCCCCCCCCATCGCCCCCACCATCATAACCATTACCACCACCATTACCATTACCATTACCCTCACCAACCCCACCCCACCACCAAACTACCCCCCACCATCATCGCCACTACCGTTACCACCTCTACCATCGTCACCCTACCACCACCACCAATGTCACCACCCCCACCCATTGTCTCACCACCGTCATCACCAGTACTACCACCCCCTCGCCCATTACCACCACCATCGATGTTGTCACCCTACCACCCCCTACCATCACCACCATGGCCACCCCCACCACCACCACTATCCCCATTACACCCATCATCGCCACCCCCACCACCACCACTATCCCCATTACACCCATCACCGTCACCCCACCACCACCACTATCCCCATTACACCCATCACCGCCACTGTCACCTCCACCCCACCACCACCCTACCATCACCACCACTGTTCTACCACCGTCGTCGCCACCCCCACCACCACCAACCCCCTATCTCTCGACCACCACCATCCCCACTTCCCCCCACCATCACTATCACCACCACCACTGTCACCTCCACCCCATCACCACCGCCACTGTTGAACCACCCCTATCGCCTCACCGCCACCCCTCACGACCACCACCACCACCACCGCCACCGTCAGCACCCCATAACTGTCACTACCACCCACCACCGTCGCCGTCGCTACCCCACAACTATCACTACCACCCACCACCATTACAATCACTCACTCTCATTATAACTGATACTTAAATTCTTTTTTCTATCCTCTATATTTGTAATTTAATTCTAGATTTGTATACAAATATATTTATTGTTGATCATTTTTTTTATTACTATGTGCCTTCAGGTACATACAATAATAGTAATCATATATTTCACTCAAAATAACAAAAATAGTTATGTGCATCTTCTTACGTGTACACACTTAACTAGTATCCTTAAAAGCTTAACAAATTAAAGTAACACAAATTGTAAATTTGAAGCACCAAATGACATAAACTTAATTGTACATTTTTGATTGGATCAAAGTAACACAAATTAAATATTTAAGATACTAAAATGATACAACTGAAAAAACAAGGATCAAAATAGCACAAAAGGCATACTTGAAGACTAATACTCTATGCTACCCTTTTCCATTTATAGACAAGACCAGACCATGCATAAGAAAAAGAAAAATTACAGACCCTAAAGACCAGGCGATCTAAAAAATAATAATAACGAACATAAAAATCATTAATTAATAGAACTATTAATATGTTGTTAAACTGGATGCTGCCGATGGATCCTGCTGGAGTCACTGATTTGTTAAACCGAATATTTGATCGATAACTACAATTGAATGATGCCGATGCCGATGCCGATGCCGTGGCAGGAGCTGAATTGCAGTGTAGTTATTGGTGCTTCGGACATTAAGTATAAATGTCAACTATTTTTTGTTAATAAGAATTTATAAAATTTAAATTCTCTTCAATAAAAAGGTATAGACTTGACTTTTGACCAATTTTTGAAAAAAAGAAAAAGAAAAATCACGTTTCCCATTATACATAAACAAGAAAACAGTGTCTCCCAAAAAGTGAAATTATCCACCTTACCCACTATGGATTTTAAAACTCTCAATATATGTGTTACCACTCAAGTTGGCTATTGCAAGACTCAGACCAACTCGATCTTAGCAAGTTTTTAAGGATGATCGAGTTGAAGAGGTTCCTTGAATGTGGTAAATTGCGGGGCTTTTTACTTTGGGGGGGCGGGATTTTTTCCTTGAGTGTAAAATCGCGCATACACCCTTCCATGCCACTAAGAGGGAAATGATTGTTGGATTATTTCTGTGATAGCCTTGCCTTAATTATCAAGATACTTTTTAAAGACATGATGTTGTGGACAATATCTTGATTTTTTTTTTTTTTTATCATGAATATCTTGATGGTTGAGCCGGACATTATAAAGTTGCAGCTACAATTACTTCCTCCAGTTTACCACTCTTTTTAGTTGTCTTAAAAAACAAAAAGGCTACTTCCGTTTACTGTGGGTAAATCTACCAAGTGATTCTTATCATCTCATGACGACTCACTGAGTTTTTGAAACCCATTTAAGATCCTCATTCTCTGTGTCTCTATGTCCCAAACGAAACAAAGTAAAAATAAAACAACATTCCAAACACCTCTTGATAAGTTGCTTATTATTATTACTTACCGAAAAAAAAAGTTCATTATTATTATCATGACGGTGTCTGCTGCATTTCTAAATTTGCTATGTAGTTCTTAAATTGCTGGCCATGATAGCTTTTCCGAACTCTTATTTTTCATTATTTCCCCAAATACTTCTCTATAATCAAGCAGGCCCTTTACATGGCTATGTCAGCAACCATTCACCTCGATAAAAAAGGTACGGTGAGCATTTACAGGTATGTATTCGTTCATATACGACCAATGATGAAAAAAAAGTTGTTGGCTACTTATCACACACACACACACACACCTTTCATCAATTTTCCGAATGGAGAATGGCATTGGCCCCACGGCGTGAAGACAAACCCAACAGTAGACGTCTTAACAGCCTGTCCGGGACCAAACCACCCAACTATCATCATATAACAAAAAAAAAAACCCCACCACCACCACTTCCATCTAGGTTCTAATGCCAAAGATGATGAGGAGGACGATGATTATGAATACCAACCCAACCCTCTCTCTCTCTCTCGGCCAGCCTTGACAACTCTATTCCATTTATGTTCACAATCTCCACGGTAGTCCCCACTCTGTTACCAATTGCACCATAAATCAGAATACTGGTTTGTCCACTCTTAACCACTACGATTTCCAATCGGGCAAATGTCTGTCCATCATTCGTGGTGTGGCACCAGCTATGGCACTCCGTGTCTTCCAACTGGCAACTTCTCGTCACAGTCTGGTGCCTAAGCACATATACGACAATTACTAGTAGTAATTTAGGATTAGGAGAGTAGTTTGGAAACACCCTCAATACTAGAACACCTTACCAAAATTTTAAAAGCATTGACGGAATTGATTATCACCAATTGAGTATGTGTAAAGAGGCATTTAAAAGAAATTCAAAACGAAAAATAACACATTTTATCCTCCCCTCCCCCCCCCCCCCCCCCCCCAAAAAAAAAAAAAAAAAAAAACTTTTTTCTTTTTCCCCTAAGATAAAATTAGCAATGCAAAAGGACATCAGATGGGGATGTGCTGCCGATGCAGTGACACCAAGAAGATATCATATACATGAACTCCATAAGATGACACACACCTTAATGAATTATATGAAAAAATCTAGCTTCCATTCATTTACAAATTTGTCTGCACATCGGCAGGTCTACAACAAGGGATGTCCAAAAAAAAAGCAACTCACAAAATCAACGTCAATCTATTTTGCTCTGCTAAAACAAAAATACTCACATAAAGAGCATTTAATTGGGAAGTGAAACAGATTGTATAAATAAACCCATCAAGCAAAATGACGCTGACCTGTAAACTAAAGTGTCAGATGTCTGGGAGAACATATATGCAGGAGATGCCATAAACACCACTTTATAGATTGATGTTGCACTCTCGCAAATATAGTTGATCATAATCAACAAATTTTGACCAGTAGTTTCGAAACTTGGGTATGCCTATCTCAAGCCAAGGTTTTAAGTTGCCATTATAATGTATGACAGCTGCTCGTTCAATTTCCTTCTGGCTGACATTTGGATTGTACCCAAGGCCTAGGACGTGCCAGGATCGATCAAGGCGAAAAGTGCAGTTCCAAAACGTTATCAGACCAGGAGGCAGGGTCCCCAACTTCCACAACTGTCTGTCATGATTCTGCTCATATAACATTTTTCTATCTCAGAATTGCAAAGATTAAACACTTCCAAGCATACCTTTTACGCATTATGTCGAATACAAAAGACAGTAGCATGTGAGTAAATGTCAGGATAATATACGAGAATCCTAAACAAAATCTTCCATAGGCTTTATGAAACATTCTAAACCTACAGGTTTTTTGGTAAGCTTATAAACCTAAAGTTACTCCATAGTTTGACTTAAATGATCGCATTGTGGGCATTTTACTATTTCATGCAATTCACAGAAGTGTTTAGTAAGTTGTAGTAATCTTAATGGAGTTTTAAAATTTTCTTCTTTCTTCCCCCGATCTCTTGTAATGGTTAAGTTGTGTGCGCAAGATCCATGGACGATGGCCAAACACAGGCAAAAATGTAATTACTCAGTTTCCAGAAATCATTGGCCAGCAGGATCAAAAATGGCCACAGTCCAGCAATACAAGAGTACAGATTATGGATGGTAATATTAACAAGTGTAATTTCAAACGTTCGAAATAAAAATGGGATATATGTAGTTCTGTCTCATAAAAGGTAAGAAACATGATGATGAATGGCAACATCATAGCTTGGGCAAAGAACAACTTTTCCATGGTCTGGATTCCATGGCAGATGTGTAGTTCAGGCTTCAATTGCAATAAATCATCAAGAATGCAAGTACACAAGTCAATAGGTTTGTGTAGGTTGCCCAAAAATTTGAAACTATCAAGTTGGCCAAAAGAAATGTCCACCTAAGAACAAGTTAAGATTCTTACCAGATTCTGCCATGAGTGGTACACCCCTGTGATGTTCTGTCTCCTCCATTCCTCCAAATCAAAGATATTCATTCCAAATGCCCAACCGCAAGCACGAGGGTCAAACTTTTTTGAAATGAGGGGATTTGAAAAATTGAGGTACCGATCAAACCTATGGAAACTTTCTCCACAAGTCTCAACCACACCAATCACCTTCCCCTTTTGTTCAAGAGACCAAAGACCCGTAAGATCTGTCTGCACCACAATATCATCATCTAAGAACAGCACCTTGTTGAGCTTAGGGAAGATCTCGGGCAGATAAAAGCGGAGATGATTCATTATTGAGAGGTACTTTGGATTCCGGAACTTCATATTTGAATCAGAATCAGTACGACGAGTCTTGAAATAGTAATCAATCATGGATGGAGAACCTAACTGCTTGAGAACTGGACTATAACTTGAATTTAACCATGTGAATTCCTCAACATTCTGAACCTGAATTGTAGCCTTGCCTGGTGGGTTTGCCAGAAACCACATCCTCATTGCAGCAAAATTGAGCTTATCAGTGACAATGTGGAAAACATGCTTGGAAGGATCCTGCAGGACAGCATAACATGTTAACATAAAAAGTTAGAGATGCCAAACATCAACATAGGATTGATAGATGCGCATTTGAAGGCAGAGGAAGAAATGAAAAATGAATTCTTATCAAAATCATCACAGAAAACCGGTGACATTCTACTGCCTCCTAAGTAACCACAATGAGAAAATAAAATTCCATGATTTGTAGATTAGTTACCTTCGCATGGTAAACAGTCGAGTTTATAACAACTGATGCAGCCAATATATTATCTGAGAATAGTGCATAGTGGTACAGCCTTGGGTCTTCTAATCTCTCTTGATTTGGGAACTGCTGTTCTGACGAATTCAAACTAAAGTACTCAATTGAAAGGCGCAAGGGAAGACAATGAAGACCTTTTGGAAGCGTCTTCGCAGTTAAGTGTGTCAAAAACAAAGTCTGCTTCTTGTGGGTTCGGAGCTGCTCTTCTGCTGAGTGAAGCATAGCACGAAGCTTCTTTACCACAGCAGTGCAGTCATCTTGAATTTGCTTGCCTTTGGCCAATGTTTGCTCCATTGACTTCAACTTCTCATAGGCACTGTGTTCCGTGCCAGACAGAAAATAATGGATTAAATTAAAGAAAAATGGTAAATCAGTAAAGGAACTATTACTATAGGCAATGTCAAACTGTTGCATGCAAAACAGGAACCTACAAAAATGCCAATTGGCCATTTTGTTACGAAGTTAAGCTATTGTCCAAACAGCTTACAATGAAGATATATTTAAGGAGACAACTTACTTCCTTGGTAGCTCCGAATCGTTCGTTGCCTCCCCAAGTGCTCGCTGAACTTCCTTCATCCGTAGACGAAGCTCCCTTATAAAGTGGGGATTGTTTCTTGTAGCTGCAAGAGAAAGGTAAACCTTTCCCCTGATGAGCTGATCCTTAAGCTGCCGAACACGCACATCAGGCGGAACTCTTTGATCATTCTGTTTCTCGGTCTTGGTCTTTACAGGGTCTCTGGCACCAACTTTTCCAGAAATCTGGGCAGACTGTTGGTCATGTTTTATTCCCTACATGAGCAACCAAATTAAAATCACAAAAAAAAAAAAAAAAAAGTAGAAAGAGTAAGGTTAAGCGCACATCTAAAACCAGATGTGCTCCTCATCACTCAGTCACTTTCATGGCAAAACTAATACTACACACCCGAAGACTCAAAAATACAAGTCTACAAGAGACCAAAATTAATGTCCAAACAAATAACTTATCTCAAATCTGTTAGTGTCTTAGTTGGATATTATAATCATGAGAACTTCTGCAAAATGGAAGATCAACTTCTGTTGATCATTTAGATGACTATAAGAATTGAGTTTTAAGCATGTTAATCCAGGGCAAAAAAAGTGTGATCAAGTTAAAAACAACAAATCTGTTAATTCTCTTCTGTAGACATACAGAATTGATTATGATGCTTTAGACTAACGTGCCAAATTTTTATATTACAATGAAATCTGGGAATTAACTTCTAAAGAACATTCTAACTGTAGCCAATATGTAATACTCAAGATTCCAGACAAGAGGAGATGCCTAATCAATAGTCCCATGGAACAATCAGACTCCTGCAAGATGAAAATTTCCCACACCATAAGTATATATTCCCTCCAATACAATTTGCAGGAAATGAGATGAACTCCACCCCCAATATTATATATATAATCATCATGCATTATCTAGAAGATATACATGTCACACAGCAAAATACTTCAATGCTGGCATTCGCAAAAGGCATGAAAATGACAGCACAACTAATCAAACAGAAATTTAATTAAGGTGAATTACCAATTTTTCAGAGGCATTATCAGGTGTATGCTCAGACACCGTCAAATCCTTCTGTTTATCACTGGAACTTTGTTCTCTCTTGCTTTCCTTCTCCCCAGTAGATTCAGCTTTCCCTGAGATGGTGTCACTCTGATTTGCTTCTTGCCCTCCATCAGTCACCTGTTTGATGGGGTTGTCGCCTACAGATTGATCCAGTATACTGCCACCAGCTTGGTGATCCACTGATTCTGGTCATGGCAGACTTAAAATTAAACGATAATGAAAGAAAACAATTTATACCCAAAAATGATGGCAATAAATGCAAGAAAAATTTCACACTCCCAGAGGCAACAAAGACAAGAAGATTCCAAATTAAAATTAGGGTAGGGAAAAATAAATAGTCAAGTAGAATGCAATAAACTAACCTTCGGCGAGTTGTCTAGTTTTCCGGGAGTTTTCTCCATTTGAAGCATCAGAATTTGGAAGGGATTTGGTTGAATTTTCCGAGTAAATAATCCCCAATGGTTCTTTTAGGGCTGTGGATGCCTCCTGGACATATTTACATCTTAAGAAAATAAATGGACAGATGGGGAATTCAGATCTGAGATTTCAGATCAGAAGGACAAATGTGTATATATATTTTCAAAGGAGTGGATATTGAGAATTAATTTTACCTGGGGAAGCACATTCAGAGGTCTAGTATCGCCACCGAATGTCTGCAGAGAGAAAATAAGGGAAGAACAAAGGTTAAAACATTTCAGAGTCGAGACCGTCAAAATACACAATTTAGGCAAAATTGAGTAGACTTACAAAAGTGAAAACATCTTCAACGAGTTCATTTTCAGCTGCAAAAGAAAGGGGGAGGAAAAAAGAAAAAAGAAAAATTAGTAAACACAATTCAGCCATACTAGTAAATCTTCAGGGAATTTGGGGGTGGGTTTACGAGAAAAGGAAATTCGATTGTTTTGAAGAGCAATAACAAGAATCGAATGGAATGGGGTGGGGGAATTTACAAGAAGAAGCCTGGAAACTTGTAATTTTGTCCGTATAAAGAACGATGGGAGCGAGAACCGTGACAAGCAGTAAGAACACCACCGGTTTTCTCAGCTTCATCTTCCTCCTTAATTCCAACACTTTTGAGCCCCAATCGAAGAGTATCCCTTGCCCTTTTTCGAATATATTCTACACTCCGCTACCTCCTCGCTCGCTCCCACTTGTCCCATCAACGCCACTGCTCCGCCCAGATCTCCATCACGGAGAGAGAGAGAGAGAGAGCTAAATATTGCAGGAAAAGAGAAGGAAAAATGGAGATAGGCGGGTGTGTTTTTACCCAGGAAAAAGAGAAAACACGTATCCAGATATACAAAGATCTATCAAACAAACACCACCATAGAGAACAAGGAAAATGTGGGTTGAGGTTGGGGCTGGGGTTGGAGACTGGATCAGTGGAGAGTGTCGGCGAGTACAAAATAATTTAACTATGAATAAACATAAAAAAATAATAAATTTTATAATTACTAATAATTTTTATATTCAATAAATAACATATAAAATTACTTAGAGTTTACTTGTTTTATTTATTTATTATTAATCGATAGAGCATATAATAAAAAATAATGTGGTGCCATGTAGTAACATTCAATCGGTAATTGAATGAATGTTAGTTAACCAATAAAGAAATTTCAATACAATTACAAATAAATGATATCCATTGACGTTGAGGTAGGCTTAGGCCAACCCCACCTTGTATTTTTTTCATTTTTTGTTAAGAAATGATGAGATGCAAAGAGGGAGTACAATAAAATTAAATATCTATATTTATATTTTCTATTCCTACTCTTAATCCTGTTTTCTATCCGCTGTTGCGAGGCATCATCATTGTCCATATCAATGGTTATTTGCCTCATAACCAAAGAGGAAGGTTTTCAATGTGAAAAATATTATATATTTCAAATTTTTGATCCAAATCTCTATCACAAATGAAGGAGGATCATTGGATGAGTGAGTCTCATCAATTTTTTTAAATGGAACTCATGGATCCAATTATCCTCCTTAATTTGAAATAAAAATTTGAGATACATAATATTGCTCTTTCAACATTGATGATTCCTAATGATTGTTCATCAACCCCCATCTTGTTTTTTTTCAATAAATTTGTATGATTTACTTATACTTGTCAGTAGTCATTAGTAGTGCAGCATAAATATAATGAATGATACAAAAGGGGTTGTGTAGGGGTGCAACTAGGCGCGGGTTGAGAGGTCAACCCTAGATATATAATCTTCAACCCTAACCCTAACTCTAACCCTACCTCAACCCGAGTATTGCCTAAATTTAATTCGGTTAAGCTCGGGTTGAATTCGGGTTACTTAATTCGGGTTGATTTTAGGTTAAAAATTGGGTTGACTTGGGTTACATAATTCGGGCTAATTTTTTGAAGTGTAAATTTAATTTTTTCAAGTGTAGATATAATTTTTTCAAGTGATCTGAGAAGAAGGGCGAGACGCAGGTGAAGAGAGATGGAGTGAGAGAAGGAGGAATAACGAGTGAGAGATAGAGGCTAAGAGTCTGAGAGGACTTAGACGAGTAACGATTGAGAGAGGGAGGCTAAGAGAGGAAAGAGTGACGAATGAGAGAAGATTTGAGAGTGATAAAGACGTAGGGGTGAAAACTTAAAGTGAAGTGAAAATTTTGACTCTAAAGAGTTAAGATAAATACTAACAGTAGTTAAATATATTTATATATTTATGTATATTCGGGTTCAACCCGATTTTAATATTCGGGTTGAACCCTACAACCTGAGGCTCACCCAAATTCAATTCGGATTGGAGTTTTTTTGTCCAAGCCTAACCCAAGTATTAAATATTCTAACCCAAGCCCTATTTTTTTTCAGATTGAGCTCGGGTTGAATTCGGGTTGGCTCGCCCAAGTTACAGCCCTAGGGTTACGTGTAGCGTCAGTCAGTGATTGGTTGGGTGTTCATCAATTAATTACCCATCATGTACCTGGACCCACATCTTGAGATCAATTAATTGATCAAATTTTCGTTTGCAGGGGACGACATCTAATCCCATTAGCCCATTGTTACTACTTATATATAATTAATTAATACAATTAAATTAAAAGAAGAAGAATCTTGTTGATGCTAATGTTGATACAGTGATGTTGATGTGTAAATGCATATGTATACCATGATTTTGTTGATGCATTTGAACGACAGAAGAGGTGTGAAAAGATCTCGAGAGCAATCTTTTTTGGGATATTGATAATCGACTTTTACACTTTGAATTTGCTTGTTTTGTTTATCTCCCCCCCCCCCCCCCCCAACTATGCCTATGAGTTCTAATGGTGTATTATGTGTGGTTGAGTAAAGGTATTGGATTGGGGATCTGTTGATGGGGTTTATTGGAATATTCAGTCAGAACTTCTAGACTCTTGGTGGTTGAACGGGATGGTAGCTGTGAGCAGAAATCAATAGACGAGAGATTTATAGTAGTTCACCAGCTCGAAAGCTTGGTTAATCTATTATAATGGAATCTTTTACTCCTAGGAGAGTTTTCTATTACTTAGAGAATAAGGCTACAGAATTACGGGGGGTCAATGTTCACATGCTTGATTGATTACAATGTGAAGGATTTGATCCCCGTTTATAGTATGTTGTAGTTGTTGGAATAGAAATCCCAAGAGCCGTTGATAGAGCATATGTATTGAATATTAAAAATTTTCCTTTAAAACCCAACAAGGCGAAATTAGGGCTTACCTTCGAAATCTCTCGGAACTGATCTCGTCTCAGCACAAACGCAAAATAGAATAACGACTACAGCTTGACGAATCTCACGGCCTTCTGTCGTATATCCCCCAACGTCAGAATTCGGATGCAGTGTGGGCTGCCAAGATCTACGAATCCTTGTTCTCTCTTTCAGCCTCCCTAAAAAACGTGAGTAAAGATAAGATGTTGAAATAGAAAACTTAGACGTCTATATATAGGCTTCGATAGAGACTCTAAGGAGAAATAAGAACTGAGTTCCCAATAGGCTTAGAATTCCTATGTCCATACTAGAACAAATATCCTACAGCCCATTAATAATAAGTCAGACCATTAAAGACTTATTGTTGATCTCCCGGGCCTTAAAATTATATTCGAGCTTCTTATTATTATATGCTTAATAATCTCCTCACGTTTAAGATTACAGATGTCCATCAATTAAATAAATCACTGACAATTTTAATTGACTTTTTTTTATTTTTTGAGACCTTATCACTCAACTTATTTGTCATGTCAGATAATTAAATTGACTTACAGGGTTTAACATGAATAAAACTTATGAGCTTCCTTCAGAGGATATCATCAACCCATTTAAATAATAGGACGTGGTTTCCTTTAATATTTAATTTCTACCATATAAATAATGTCGTCTCCCAATTCATCGAGCTTATTGATCCAATATGTATCTCACTCTTTGATGAATTAAAGTGATAAACATTATATGCAGGTGACAATTAAATATTTAGGAATTAAGAGCATAAGCAATCATAATAATCATGAGGTATTTATTATCTTATTAAATAAGTAAAATATAATAACCTTAACATATGTATGTTCAATACATAAAATGTACTAGTGTAATAATCCGAGATATCAAACAATCTCTTATAGTCAAGATAGACTATGCCATAATATTAAACTACAATTATACTGATAGCGTGTCCAATTTCATCTACAATTGTGAACATATACTTATATTATACAAGGATCCGATAATCTAATCTTTTGTGCATAAGCCAAACTCTACACACCAGATTATCTACATTGTAAAATATAAGACACACATGCATATTATATATAAAATATAATACAAATATTTTGCCCATGTAGATTCTCAATAAAATGGAAAGAACAAGCTTTTATTAATTAATAAAATGAGTTTTACTACAAAAAGCAAACTTTTAGTATACTACTCTATCAGTAGTTTGGCGTAATCATTGTGATCCTTGTGTGGTCAACCCATATAATGGAATGTTTGGCCGTTAGAGGCTACATTCTATAGGTGTGATGTAACCCTCTAGAAGGTGTGAGCTGTCATTATCGTAGTGCACATGAGGGTCACGTTGGTGACGATTTTCAACCTGCGCCTCCTGAACTAGGAGTCTCGAGCTAGAAAGTCTTAGATATGAGGTCCGAACTAGGATGTCTGATCTGTGACATCTGAGCTGAAGTGTTTGAGCCGAGGTGTCTGAGCTTGGATGACCACCTGGCCAAGCCTAAATAATTTGGGTGAGTTCGTGCTGAGGTGCTTTAGTTGAACTCTTCTTATTTTATCTTCTCAAATGCTGATGCCTTCCTTTGTTGTTTTAGGTATTGGCCCTAACCTTGACGCAAACGAGAAGCTCCTTAAGGAGTGTTCCACTAAGAAATACACCAAGCTCGTCGTGCCCTTGATTCTAGCCAAGTATGGCTTTAGACCAATGGAAGGGGTGAAGCTGTTGTACCCTTATATGTAGTTCGAGAAGAAGACTTTACTAGTAGGATCTCAACCCTGTTATTTAGAACCTTAATCTATTTTATAGGGTCTCAGGTCTAACACTTTGTTTCTCTTTTCCTAAGTAGATCTTGACGCTATGGCTCCAGATATTGATGTCGTTAAGGCAAAGCTGGCAAAGATAAGAGAGGATGCCAAAGGTTCGAAGGCATTTGCAAAAAGGAAGGCTAAGGTCATTCCTGATTCCAACCTAGAACCTTCAACCAAAACGAAGATGACAGACTCCAAGAAGGCTTCTCTTCCCCCAAGCCATTTGCCGAGGCTAAGAAGACCAAGGATCCTCCTAAGCTCAAGAAGATTTCGATGAAGGCGACCAAGCCCTCGGTCACGCCTAAGGAGGTGATCGAGACCTCTATTGGAGCCACTCCTTCTTATCCTAATCCTCATCCAGCCTTGACTCTAAAGGAAACATCCTCGAGAATGCCTCATGGCACATCAAAAAGTCCCTCGACTGGTGAGGCCAGAGGTGAGCATTCCTTTTTAGGTGATGTGAACCTGGCTGTCAGTGTCATTCTCTCGATCATCCCTGAAGTCGACATCCAAGAGGCTTTATCGATGTCTCTTTCTACCTCAGCTGCCACTACTTTATATGGGGCAATGTCGGTATGATCCTGACCTTTATCTTCAGGGTCCAATGGAATCCTCTTACTGACCTTTAATGAGTGTATTTCTATTTTTGTTTTTGTAGATGATGACACATGTCGAAGTTCTTGTGAACAAAGCTTGAGCTTCAGAGAAGACAGCTGAAGGTGCCAAGCAATCCCTCAATGTTTTTGAGCTCAAGGTTATTGAGCCGGGCTTCAAGAATGACAATCTTGAGAAGTAGATCGGGCACTCAAACTCAGAATTCAAACTGAAGATGGATGAACTTAAGTAAGCTCGGTCAGATGCGAAGA